CGTTTAAGTCACTCCATATTAATGTCAGGATCTGTAGCAAGTTTAACCAAATTATTACATTTTCTGTGTGGTATACATAATCCCAAACATTTAACTTCTTTTCTACTTTGTTAAAATTCCATTTAGAAAAAATGTGCTCTATGCCATCACATTTTTTCAGTTTGTGTTGTTAAAGCTGTCAGTTAGCTCTGATATTCGAAGCATGCTGTTGTTAATGTGGGTATATAACAAATACTGTCTTTATCACAGTTACTGTTGCCTCTTTATGGATCTCAATGAATGCACCTTTGCAGGTGTCAGGTCTTGCCTTTACTTCTCTTGGGGTTGAATTCTGCTATTCGCCCACTTGTTAGACCAGGGCCTGGCTTACCACCCCTACAGTATCAACCATGACTATTTGCAAACCCTTTGGCTACGTCTACACTGGCCCCTAAAAACGGAAAAGCCATGCAAATCAAGTAAGTCAGGATAGGGAAATCCGCGGGGGATTTAAATATCCCCCGCAGATTTAAATAAACGCTTTTTTTCCGGCTTGGGGAAAAGCTGGAAAAAAAGCGTCTTGACTGGCGCGATCCTCCGGAATAAAGCCCTGAGGTACCTCAGGTAGGAATAAGAGATCCTCCGGAAAAGGGCTTTATTCCGGAGGATCACGCCAGTCTAGATGCTTTTTTTCCGGCTTTTCCCCAAGCCGGAAAAAAAGCGGCGGACATGTTTATTTAAATCCACGGGGGATATTTAAATCCCCCACGGATTTCCCTATCCTGACTTACCTGATTTGCATGGCTTTTCCGTTTTTAGGGGCCAGTGTAGACGTAGCCTTTTTGTCCTAGAGCCTGTGACAGCTTGTGTTTGCAGTGATACAGCCTCTTCAAAACAAAGCATGATTTATTCATCACCCAAACCTACCAAGCAGGTAGAGACAAACAAACCGCTCCCTCCCGCCTCCAACACAGTGAAAGACCTACACACATGGGTAGTACGTACACCTTGGTAAGTTTCTCCTCATCTTAGCTAACTACTTTATCTCTGGTGAGGAGAGACAACCCATATTGAAGCAGCATGCTTCCTGTTTCTGTGTCTTAGTCTGCCAGCCATTTCACTGACACATCCTGGGCAGCTTCCTTCAGCTCACACACAAAAAATCCTCCCCTTTTCTAGAGTCTGATCCTAAGCTTAACCTTGAGAGTAACAAAACATTCTAGCATGGCTGGAGCCAGGTAAGTGACTTCTTTCCGCAACCAATAGCCCAATCATTGTTATAGTAACTCCTTTGAAGCTGGGTACTTGAGAGACTCTTGTCTGTCCCTTGTTTTACCTTACCTGCCTTCCTTAAAAATCTTTTTATAGCCTCCTTCAATTACTCTCTATGCATTCAGGTAGGCAGCAATACAAAACTGAACAAGGAAACAGAGTCAGACATAATGCTAATAAAATAATACAGATATTCCCCCAGTTTGTCACAATCTGTATTATGCCATCCTTTTAAAGGCCACAACAGTAATTCCTGTAATTCTGCCGAAAGAACTGCATCTAGACTGCAGTTTCACTTTTGAAATACCTTTTTTGGAAACAGCTATCGGATGTGAATATGGAAATGAAGTGCGGGATATTTAAATCTGCGCTTCATTTGCACTTTTGATTTGCCTCATTTACATCCCTCTTTCGACAGAGGGATGTAGTCTAGATGTGCCGTCAGAGAACACATAAAAAAAGGGGAAACGGGTATCCTATTTTGTACATTTAGAGATTGAAAATTATTTAAATGTTACCTAATCTGTAAATAATTTAAGCCTCCAAAAATCTGCATTAATCAATCTAAATATGTTGCAAAATTATTTCCCAAAAGAAAAATGTTCCAGACATCATAGATAAACCCAAAGTCATAGTGTTTTCTGCATCTACTATGTTAAATCAAAAATTTATACTCTGTACTAATTAACAAAATACAGAGTGAGCTCCCCTCCCTCAGTTTGCATTCCTAACTCTTTTCCCCTACAACTCTCTCTTCTATCTTCTGTCACAGACACACAAGTTTCTTATCTACTTTTCTTTAAACACTCCACAGAACCTACTGACCCCATCTCAACTCATCTTCCTTATCCCTGCTTACATCCTTTCCCTGACCTTTCTCCTTAACCTCTCATTCTCCTCTGTCTCTTTCCCCTCTCAATGCCAACATCCTTAAGTTCACCCTTCGTAAAAAAAAAACCCTCTGCCGTTGACCTCGCTTGTCTCTACAGTATAGCTCCATCAGCTTAGTCCCTTTCTTCTCTAAGCTCATTGAACACACTGTTTACAGTCACTATCTGGAGTCCTCTCCTCCTGTCTTAGATCCTCTCCAGTTTGCTTACACCCCATATATTCAACTGAAACTGCTCTCACCAAAGTGTCCCAGTGACCTCTTCCTAGCCAAAGCCCAAAACTCCGTCTTCACCCTTGACTTTTCAGCTGCTTTTGATGCCCTCAGCCATGCTCCTCATGAGATCTTGTCCTCCCTTGACTCTGTCCACTTATCTCTCTAATTGTTTCTTCAGCGTGTCCTTTGAAGGATATTTCCAACTCCCCCTCAGGCTGTCACTCAAGCCCATAACTCAGGTATCAACTTTGACTTGTACCTTTCTCCAGGTCTTCACATCCAGACTGTGTCTAAGTCTTGCCATTTCTTTTTGAATAACATCTCAAAGATATGGCCTCTCCTCTCCTTTTATCCAGTTAAAACTCTTATCAAGGCTCTCATCATGTCACATCTCGGTTACCACAACATCTGTGTGTCTGACTTTGACAAATGCAGTCCTGCCCCACTCATGTCCACTCAGAATGCTACTGCAAAAAAACATTCTCTTAGGCCATCACTTTGACCACATCAGCTCTCTCCTGTATCACTGCAAACATAAGCAGCTTGTCTTCACTTTCACGAATTATTAGACTCATCCAGCCTATGTCTTGTCTCTCATTTGCTATTGAGCTGTCAAAGCTCGCCTTTGATCCAGCCATTTGTTAGATGTTATTATGTTACCCCTCGTGCTGAGGAGAAGATCTCTGTAAACATCCACAAATCCTGCTTCAGATCCCTCCGTAAAACTCTGCTTTACTACAATGCCTACAGAAAACTTGGCAACTATTCAGATGCTGGGGTGCTGATACCACTATCTACCATGCTGATCAATATCTCATTGTTTCCTTGTACTTCTCCATCTACATGTCTGTATCCATCTGTGGTCTCTTGTCTAAGATCTTTTTGGCTTTTGTTTGTGCAGCAATTAGCACAGTCGGGTGCTGGTCAATGACTAGAGCTCCTAGATGCTGAGATAATATAAATAATAAATAGTCACCATGAACTTTCTTCCTCTTCACTGATTGTTAAAATCAGTGTTTGAAAGGAGCACACATGTGCCCTCCTTGTGAATTTCACAACTGCTGTGCTTTTTACTCAAGAGTGAATTTACTGAACATATTTGGAATTGGGCATTATACTCAGTTACCTCCCTAGAAGAAACAAACTATAAAGCCAACCTACTTGGCTTCAGCTGCCAGGATCTTCATTCCCAGGGCATGTCTGCACTGCAAACCTAAGCGAACTTACTGCGATGGCTGATGTCTTCACGGCCCTGCTTCTGTCAGTGGTGCTCTTCTGTCATTTGAAGAGGTGCCATGCAGGGGGCTGGGAGCCAGGACTCTCAGCTGTATGCAGTTTCTCTCAGGACACTAGCTGCCATCCTGGGCTTCTCACTTCCCTAAGCAAGGAGCTTCCAAGCAGCAGACAGGCCGGGAGGAGCCTGTGGGAGCAAGGAGCCAGAAGCAGCCAGGATTTCTTGTCAATTTCTGGAACTGGGAAATTGACCGTACATCCAGAAGCCCATGTAAGTATCCCAAACTATGCTGACATAAGCTCTATGCCTCTCCAGGAGGTGGTGTATGATGTCAGTGTAGTAGGGCACTTACATCGGTGGGACAAGGCCTCAGCGCATATGCCGATATAATTAGATTGATATAAGCTGCTTTACATTGACCTAATCAGGTGGTGTAGACCAGGCATCAGTCTCTGTTCAGCTATACACATTGTCTGTGTCTACACTGGGACATTTATTCCGGAAAAGCAGCCGCTTTTCTGGAATAACTTGAAAGCTGTCTACACTGGCCGCTTGCTTTTCTGGAAAAGCAATGACGATCTACTGTAAAATTGTCAGTGCTTTTCTGGAAAAACTATGCTGCTCCCGTTCGGGCAAAAGTCCTTTTCCGGAAAAACTATTCCGGAAAAGGGCCAGTATAGACAGCACAGTAGTCTTTTCTGCAAAAAATCCCCGATCGCGAAAATGACGATCGGGGCTTTTTTCCGGAAAAGCGCATCTACATTGGCCACGGACACTTTTCCGGAAAAAGGGCTTTTCCGGAAAAGCATCCTGCCAATGTAGATGTTCTTTTTCCGGAAAGACTTATAACGGAAAACTGTTCCATTTTAAGCATTTCCGGAAAAGGGTGCCAATGTAGACACAGCCATTGTGTGCTGTTAGGTATTTTCATATGACTCTATGTGTCCAAGGGATCTGCTTCATCTTCTGGTGGGGTTTCACACCAGTAGTACTGCTCCCTGCTTCACAGCATTGCTGCTCCGCAGCTCCTTCCAGCCCACTCCTCACCACATTTGGATCAGTAGCAGTAAAGTCTACTCCTCATTACAGCGAGGGGGACATGAATTCCACTTCTCTTCCCCTTATGTGGATCTCCTCACGTGAGTGGGGTGTGACAATGAAATCTACTCCTCTTCTGTAGGAAGAGTTAAAAATGAGCTACTGTACCCATTTCCCCGAAGCACAATGTGTGAAACTAGGGCCATGTCTACACTTACCAAGATATTAGTGCTGTGGGGATCCATCCCTGAGGATTGATTTAGCACGTCTAGTAAAGATCTGCTAAATCAAGCACTGATTGCACTCCCGTCAACTCCAGTTCTCCACTGGAAAACCTGCTGTCAGTGGACAGAAGACAGCATTTGGTTTTGAGAAGGTAAAAATGATGTGCGGGGAGGGAAGTTGAGGAAGAGAAGGGAAAAGAAAATAATAGACCCAATATAGAAAAAAATGGAATGAAAATTCCTCTTTTATTTCCTTCCTCTGTCTCCCTTTCTATTTCTTCCTTTTCCCTTCTGTAGATTTTTCCCTCTCTCTTTGCCTTCCTTTGTTATACACCACCCCATCTTCTCTTCCTCACAGGCCTATAAATACAAAACAATTACTAGTTTTTAGTTGCATTCTCACTTATGCACTGGAGTATATGCAAATATAAAACTTCAGTATTTCTATTTTCATTATCTTTTCTGTTAGAATAATACACATATTTTGATATTGCTATGGGGCCTCTTAAATTTGACATAGTAGGGCCTCTGCATGTCTTAATCTGGCCTTTGCTAGGACCAATTCTTATCTCACATCAAGGTAATTTCATTGACTTCAGTGGTATTACTCCTGATTTACACTGGTGTAGGTAAGATTACAGCCTAGTTTCCTATGAGCAGGGGCATGGTAGGAGAAGGTATTCAGGGGTAAGAGAATCTGCCACTGGTTGGGTCCTCTGGTTTTTCCTCCATTGTGGAACCATTGGCTTCTTAAGCTTCTCTAATTTCCTCCTACCCCTTTCTAAAACCTAATGTAGAGATATTCATTACCCATCTTGCTATTCAATATTAGTTCCCTGGTTTTATCTTTTGGAGAAACAGTTTTTCCGGTGCTTGGAAATATCAGTTCCATTTCTTCTTATATTTAGGATAATATAGTAAAATAGGTAAGACTGGTCATTTTGATGTAGGAATGCTGCAGTCTTAAATCTGCTTAATAAAGAGTTTACACTTTGCTTAATTGGAAAAAGTGAAGAACAAATGTTGCCAATATTCTGTTCTTTTCTCCTTGTATTTATTACTCTCCATGATTATTATCCAATGATTATTTAGAGGACGTTAAATTAATTTCCATGGAAGTCAATTAAAGCACTCTTGATTTCTGGTGAATCAATGAGCAGTGGGAAAATACAGAATTCTAAATTTGACCATCTTATCTGAAACTTTTTTTGATAACTAGGTTGTTTTGCCAGACATACATTTATTATCATACAGTGAAGCACTTGCAATGACTGCATAAAATGGAAATCTGGAAAGAAAAGCCTTTTGCCAAAGAAGGAGATCAAACCGATAAATTAAATCTCTCTCCACTGTTTGCAGAATTTATGAGGAACTCATGTGTGGATGCTGGGTTGATCCCTCCACTGGTACAGCTCTTAAACTGCAAAGACCAGGAAGTGTTGCTTCAGACAGGACGTGCTCTGGGCAATATATGCTATGATAGCCGTAAGTGTGTAAATACAACTTTTTTGTTGTTGATGATGCTGTTTTGGTTGTTTTTGTTTTGTTTTTTACTGTGTCATACAATTATAAATTGAGTCATTTCTCCTTTTCTTGCTTTATATTTATTGCACTGATTGTTCTTATTTAATGGAACAGTTGAATGTATTGTAGATGTGACTACTGTACTCTGCTTGTGTGACAGACTAGTCAAAAAAAATCCATATCAACATCATACTATTTCTGGACATGAAACTATAGGTGATTTTTTTCCCTCTTTAACATAATGGGTGAGATATGCAAATAACATATGCTAAGCATGCAATTTGAATAGCCACAAAACTAGAATTATTTTCTGTTGTAATCACCCTTGGACCACATTAGAAGAATAGGAAGGGAGCACGTTCTTCCCTCCAAGCCTCAAACGATATGAGTGAAAGAGGAGACTGCATATGTGGATGAAAGGTATGCCCTTCCTACGTTGGAAATGCTATTGCATTATTAAATATATTAGCCAAAGTACCAGAACCATGCACTTATCTTTGTATTATTATTATTTTGTGGGCACAGTAGATTTTGCATGCCCAAATGTTACTGGGTCAAAGTGTACTTGTTAGTTCAGTTGCAAATTATGTACTGTGGCAAGGTTAGTCCCACGCCTGGGGCTAGGGTTGCCAGATGGTTGAAACAAAAATACCGCCTCCCCCCAAAAAAATGGGGAAAAATTCTGTTGAAGGGGAAAAAAGGGGAGGGGAGACCAAAGTTGTTGCCCCCCCCCCCAAAAAAAAAAATTCCAAGGACTTATTAAGCCAAAAAAAAATTAAAAGAAAACAGCATTAAAACAGTATGTCCCCTTTAACAGTGAGTGCAGGGATAGGATCAGGGGAGCAGTTGAGCACCAAGACCCAGGGGAAAGCATTGCTTCCCCTAGGTCTTTTAGCCAGCTGCCATTTTGTGCCAGCAGCCTTGGGGAACCAGGGAAGCATGGGGGCTGGGATTGGGGGGAGCTGGGGGTGTTGGAAGTCAGGAGGGGAACTCGGGGGGGAGGAGGCCGGGAGCTGAGTGTTTGTAGGGTTGCCAAGTGCCCAGCATTTTTACCTTCTGGCCGAGGAAACATTCAGAAAATACCGGACATTTTAGGTGTCCAGTATTCTCTGAATTTTTTTTACCGGACAGGAGCCGAAAATACCGGACACCTGGCAACCCTACCTGGGGCCCAGACCCTTCTTTAGTCCGAAGTCTCACAGTCTAGGTACTGCGGAGGTCTCGCTTGCCCTTGCCAGGGTTTGGGCTTCTGTCCCACAGCTAAAAAGGGCATTGGGGCTGATGCACTCTGATCAGCCTGGGCTCCCCAGTCCTCCCCAGCTAGCAGCTGGATTCTCAGGCTACTTGGGGAAGGGAGCCCGAACACTCCCTGTTGGAGCCCCTCACCTTCCCACTGACTCTGGCAACACTTATGTTCTCCTTATCAGCATTTTCACGGCACTCCAAACTCCTCTTCCTGTGTCCCCCAGCATGGAAGGCCTTTTGAAAGCCCCACCCCCACTGCCTGAAGTCAGATCAGATGGCCCTTAATTGATTTATAGAAGCCCTGTCTCAGCTGCTCTCACTCCTCCCATTGTAACTCTGGGTCAGCTGCTCCTGGCTGCCCTGAAGTAACCCTCTCTTAATTAGCCCGAGCCTTTCTCGTTTTTAAAGCGGTCTCTCTCCCCTTCTAATTTAGCCCTCTAGAGTCTAGCCTAACCCTGTCACAGTACATGGTTACAGGATTTGTACAACCAAATCAGGTGCAACTTTTTAAAAATGTAGTTTCATCTTTCTTAACCCGAAATATTTTGATCATTATGGAAAATTTAATTTTACTAGTTTAACAACATTTTTTCATGAGATTAGATATATTTAGGGGCCTGGAATCAGTGAACATGATTCTTGCTTGGGTTTGTAGATCCTATGAGTACAAAGAAGAGAGAATAAGCTATTTAAAAAAATATCGTTGCGTGAAGAATACAGTGAAGAAACAGTCCTTGAGAATGTGCTTAGATTGTAGAAATTATTCTCATATAGAATAACTAGAAAGCTACGAATGTCTGCAGCTGGGAAGTGAAATGAAAATGTGAAAGCATTTTACCAGCTTGAGTTATTGAACCTTCTTCTTGTATCAAGAATTAGTTTTCTTGGCCCTGGTCTACACTAGGGAGTTATTTCGAAATAACTCCCCTTATTTCAAAATAACAAGCACATCTACCTAGCCACACTATCAATCCCATCATTTCAAAATAAGGGAATGTTTTTTTCAAAATCACAACTCTTGCTTTCCTTGGGGAATAAGCTTATTTCAAAATAGTTATTTTGGGAGTTATTTCAAAATAAATTATTTTGAAATAATTTCCTCATGTAGACATGCCTTTTGTAGTACAGTATATGTCACCGCTACTAAACTCTCTGAGATTTTGATTAATATCTGTTCAATTAGATTGCATTAGTAGTGTCTTCATTACATTTGTTTCTCACCCTACTTTGGAATTTTATATTTTATGTTATTGTACATTGCTTTATATGTGAACTCCAGGAAATTAATCAGATTTGCCAGTCCGGCATTTGCATTTACAGGCATCTACTGCTTAAGGATGATAACATTTCATTCCCTTGTTTAAGCTTTTCTATAGGCTAACTGATCAAGTGAACACCTGCTTCCCAGTGGAAACTTCAGCAAGAAACCAGCTTTCTGTTATGTTTCTTATTTATCAAGTTGCCTTTCAGGGTCAAATGTGATCAGAAAGCTCACTTCATGGATGGTTTACATCATATGAATAGACTATATGTGACTATTCATGTCACCTTTGTTCCCCGTACATTAGTGCTTGAAAAATAAATAGGACACCAAAATGAGTCCATGCTGTCAAGTACTGTATAATTGCTCCTACATTTCACATTGTCCACAGGGTTTTTTCAATACGGAGAGTCTTTGTTAACAGTTTTGTGTGGCTCTTGTTGTTTACCATTGCCAATTTTGTTGAGCAAAATTAGCACTGGTAAAATCTACACTAGGTAGTGATGTGTTCTATATACCAAGCATTGCTGTATTCCTATAGAGTGTAACAGTCGTTCCCGTGTACTCAGGGAAGAGCAATGAATAAAGTGTAATAAAATGCTGTGTAAATCAAGATTAGTATCTTTGATTTAATTACACTAGATTACTACAGGGCTTGTTTATCATATCCATCCTGCCATGCCTTATTCTATATTTAAGGGCTCTGTGTTTATATATACCAGTAGTATGTTAAGTTAAGGACAAATACTTTCTTTGTTTTCATCACAATGAACATTTGATATAAATATTTTAATTTATGGCCATAATTGTTCATATTGGGAAACTATTTTCTCTCACAGTGGTCTCTATGGTGTAACAAAGATGGGAAATGCAGTTAAATATTTGTAAGTCTATCTTTCCTTTTCGCTTTTTATTTGAAACAAAGATAGCTGTTACCCTTTTGGTAAAAGTAATCAATGTTTGAAAGTTATAGCACCTCTTTAACTCTACTTAATAATTGACTTAAAGGAGTATTACATCTTGAAACTGAATTTTGGTGACTTTCCTAGCTAATTCTGTGAGGGCAAGTGAATTCCAAACACCTTGAGTACAGGTTTCCCTCATGCCTCACAAGGAGTGAAGCTATGAGTAAGATCTGCAACTCATCCCAAATGAGGACTGTATAAGCCCATGATACAAAAATCAAGCCCCTCTTCTTACTAATTCATGACACTACGAAAATGAATGAACCCTGTACACTCAGGTGAATTTGCTATTTATGTTCAGAGGTTGACTTTAGTTGCAACTTGCATGGCAGAAAGTGAATCAGGCCCACTAGAGAAGAAGCAGCCATGATGCTCTTGAAGGCAACTGTCAAGGGATTTTCATTATTAAAAAAAACAACTTTGTTTAATCACAGTTTATGAATATCTTGTTGCTCACTCCTATGTGTTGCATAAATTGCTGGTTTCGTTCCCTTGGAGGCTAGTCTGATTTACCCCAAGAAGAGAGTCACACTTTCAGGCTGGGTCCAACTCAAGTTTATTGGTTGCAACCAAGGTACGGCTAAGGAACTCAATGTTCAAAGCAGAGCCGACCCTGAGCGTTGGCTAAGCATCCTTTTTATACTTTCTTTAACTTTCTTATCTAACTTGGCACGTCTTGATTTGTTACCTTAGCTTCGTGTTGCCGCGTTATTGGTTAGCATATTTCAACTCTATTCCATTCAGTAACAACCACCAGTATAGCTTACTTAAGCAATAGCAATTAGCAAATTTCCCTAACTCAAGTAATACGTGTAATCCAGTCCTTGAGAAATGGGTCTAAACGGCTAGTTCCCCTTTTTACTACAGCTTCTAAAACATGCGCAATTAGCTAAATGATATGTGCTGTTTCAAGCTTAAGTAATGGAAGGGGGAAGAAGCACACATAGTCTTTACTATATTTTACTACATATGGGAGAAGTCCAAAGAAAGGGCCCCTGAGGAGAAGAGTTCTCCGTGTCTTTCCTTCAGCATACAAAGGGTCCAATTTCCTCCCGATCCCTCCAGAGGAAAAGAAAGGGAAGTAGACCCCAGAACCAATGATACATTCACTTTTCAACAGCACTCTCCATGGATTGCTGGATTTAGTGCCCCTCCAAACGCAAAGAGTGAGAACTGGGTCTAGTAGGGTGGGGGAGCAACTTCTGTAGATAGATCTTGGGGAGCACTCTGGCCTCTTTACTGAAAGTCTGAAATTGAATCTTGTTTCTTTTCTAATATTCCTTCCTCTCTCGAAGTGCTGAGTGTTAATGCTGACCTCTTTTGAAAACAGAAACATTTCTTGAGAACAAACAAAAAACAACAGAGAATTAAATGCATTTTACAAATACAGAAATGGGGAGGAAATAGGTCAAATTTTGGAACTAGCAGCCTTGATAAGGTCCCTTTTAAGTACTTGTTATTGGCTCTGAGGAGATCTTCTCTATATAATT